CAGGTACCAAAGCAAAGCTACACAGAGAAACTCTATCTCAAAAAAACAAAACAAAACAAAAAACAGAACAAACAACAACAACAACAAAAAAGCATAGTTGTTTAAAGTGCTAAGAATAATAGAGTGAATTCTCAGATCTGAATGGGCAATCTCTCCCTCACAAGACTCAGGAAGCATTCCAGAAGAGAGGAGGGAACAGTGCAATAGCCAGAGGATTGGGAGGAATGCTGCTAAATGTCTTCTGGCCCTGACGTGGCTGCCTAACAAACTCCTGAGCTAACAGCACCTGGGGCTATCTGCACAAGGTCATTTAAGCCAACCAAAATTCCAGGATAAAAGGAGAAGATAATCCTCATGCCTTCCTCCTTACCAGGACCTATTAGAAATTATAGTTGCTGAGCGAGGAGGAATAATCCAATTATGAAGATGTGGATACTTGGTAGCATAACCGTGATCCAATGAATGGCCCCACAGCCATGCACTTGTGGACTTAGTGGTTTTTAAAAAGTAAATAAAGATAAAAGACATGAGGCTGTAAGAAGGATTTGATGAGGGAGCAAAGGAGGGACTGCAAGTGAAAAATGGAATAGATACGTTCTTATTCCACCATCTATTACATATATGAAATTCTCAATAATAAAAAATAAACACTGAAAACATTAACAAAATACCAGGTATAGTGTGGTCAGTCCCTTTCATAAAGGACTTTCTATTTTTAATGATCATATAGAACTAACACATGCACAATCAGAACTTTTTTAACTGACATATACTGTATTCTTTAATTTACATAAGAATCTAATGTGTTAAGTACAACTGTCAGATTTTGGCTACAGAGGAAAATAACAATGAGAAACTTAATTAATTCTACTTGAGAATTTTCTCTTAATAAGCGGCAGAATTTGGTTCAACTGTATGTCCTACGGTGTTAGCTATTTTAAAGTTGTACTATAAGCCTTTAAACAATAAATAATAATACAAGGTGCAATAAGAGAAACTCCAAGCTACGTCAAGGTGCTGGCAAAGGAATAATAAAGGTGAAGTGGTAAGAATTTTCATTAATTATCTGAGAAGAATATGCTAGTTCAAAGAGGTTAGCCCTGTTGTTTTTACTCCCTGTATTCCTTAATAATGAGCTTCATGCATTTGCTATTAAATATAATATTGAAAAGAATATGAGATAATTTAGAAAATATAATCTTACTAGTGATTTCTTTAAATAATATTTGTGTTCTTCTGATAGCCATATAGTCTACTCGATTATATAAAAGGTAAGATTGTACCTAGAGTTATTTCTGAGTGAATATTTAAATATTGTAAGATACTGTTTAGATAATGTTCTTTGAACCTTGTGAAATATCTGTGTTTGACCAGTGTCTGACAATCACAGATCACCCAACCAGATGCTCAGATGCCAAAAGTATAATTTATAGTCTTTGGATCTTAGGAAATTTTATGTATAAATTTAAGATTCCATATTTGTAATAACTGCTCCTTAAAAAATCACAGTCAACATATTCTTGTAAGAAATGTTGCCAAATTTGGCTTACCTTTAAATACTGAGAGCTTTAAATGAATTGTCTCAGATGAAGAATCGGAGCCAAAATCTTGTTAAAAGGATGATGCCCCTGGATAGTACACAACTTAATAGGAGTAAGAAATTGAGTCATGTAATCTCAGAAAATATTGGAAGATGTTGGTTTCCCTAAGGCCACTCCTCTGTTTACCTTCCTCAATTGTCCCTTGAATATAACTTCCCTAGGGATGTAATTATGAGACCTGACATCTTATATGTTTTGTTCATTGGTAACAGTCATTAATGATGAATTATTAACTAGGACTTTTCATCCTACTGATGAGTTAAGCAGTAGTGAAGCTGATTATATTTTGAACTTTATGCATTAAAGTAAATATCAAATTCATAACAATCAATACATTATTTTCCTAGAAATGTATGAGTTGATAGGTAACAAATGCTTAGCATGCAACAAGTATTCATCATCACACAATGGAAAACTTAAAATAATGATATAATATATTTAAGTCTCCTTTTCTTTTTAGTTATATCAGGGAAACACAGTTTTAGTTTTGCTAGGTAAATAAAAGCTTATAGTCACCACATTGAAGTTTAATAATTAAATAAATTATAAGCAAATATAATTGATGTTTCTATGCTACATACTCATAAAAGTTGATGCACTAATAATTGATTCATAATTACTTACTTTAGAACTACTCAGATTGAAAAATCTAGAAATGCTAGACTGCCCAGCCTCCTCTCCTTGACATTTATGTCAAATCTAATCATTCTGAATTTAATTATTTGCCCAGAATTCAATAAAATGAAATACATGCACTGCAAATAATAAAATTTGCCTTTCTTTCTAAGAGAAATAGAGAATTGCCCTATGTAAACACTTGTGTTTGCAACAGTCTGAAATATGTAGATTTTGATGGGGCACAAGACCTTGCCATCTTGTTAAAGTCCTTTGAAAACAACTTCTCAACAACATTTGCATTTAATTGCAAAGGTTCTTTTATAATTAACTGTGTCAATTTTTAGAGAAAAAGACTAAGTTGTTCTTGGTTTAAAAAAAAAGATAAATTTTCTAACAACCCAGGAGAATGAGAAAAGAAAGAAATTTCAGTGGTTTAAAAAAAAGTGCTTGTTACTCTTGCATTTAGTCAAACACTAAACATTCCCATGGCTACTTTACAGGGCTCTTCATCAACCAGAAGGTTTTTGTTCTGTGCAAACTTGTTACCATAGTGTTTTGTTATTGAACTGAAGCCAAGGAGAAAGAAAGCTATCAAAAGAGCATTCTAAATGGAGAATCCGTGCATTGACAGCAGTGGGAGGGGCACTTAAAATCAAATGCAAATATCCTTTAGGAATTAACAAATCACCAGAAATTTAAGAGCAATTACCGCAGTGTGTTGAAATAGTAGGAGCAGCGGGGCTGCGTCCCCAGCACTCCAGCCTCCTGCTAGCTTATGCCTGAAATAACAACACACAAACTGTATTCATTTAAACACTACTTGGCCCATTTCTATCTAGCCTATTCTCGGCTAACTCTCGCACCTGGACTAGCCCATTTCTAGTAATGTGTGTAAGCACCCCAAGGTGTGCTTACCGGGAAGAGTCTAGCCTCCGTCCATCCTGGGTCGGAGCTGCCTGGGAGAGCGGAGCCTGGCATCTCTGCTCCAGAGAGCAGAGCTGCCAAGTCTCTCCGGGAGCAGAGCAGAGTCTGACCTCACTTCCTCTTCCTCCCAGAATTCTATTCTGTTTACTCCACCCACCTATGTTCTAACCAATAAAATGGGCCAAGCCAGTTTCTTTATTAGTCAATGACCTTCCTCCATCAGCAGTGACTTTTTACTATCTAATAAAATAAACTATATGTAAACATATTAAAAAGCCAAAATATTCTAGAACACAAATTAGCTATCAGTGCCAAATATGCTTGATTAGTATTGGCATAGTTCTTCACTGTCGAGATCCTGGAGAATCATATAGAAACAAGCTTATTTTGATTATCCTTGCCTTCCTCTTGTTTTTTGCCAAAAAAGGTGGGACAGTGCTTCAAAATTTCTGCATCACAGAAAAGTCCGCCAGATATTTTAAGTTTAGAGAGAAAAAAAATGGATGCCACAACATTACAGAGGTTCCTTGGGTAACACTCTATTCAGCCAGTTGTTTATTTCATTTCTTAGTTTTGGTAGTTGTTTCCTCTGCACTTCCTGTTTACTCAGGTAATAGTATTATCCTTCTCAGATCTCTGATAGAATTAAAGACTAGGTATAGATTTCATTGTTACTAAATTCAGAAAAGAAACTCACAAAAGAGGCATAAAGCATATAAGGTTGAGAGACTTAACAAGATAGTTTTGGGTTGGTAATACTAGTTAGGACAGAAAGCAAATTCAGTGCAAGATTTTGAACCCACCAATGCAGTATAGAAAGTGGAGTATTTTCTCTGATTTTGTCAAATGAAAATAGACTGAACATTGTTAATGTAACTCTTACATATATATTTGTTTTTAGTTATTATACTTATGATATATAGTTCTACTACGTTAGTTAAAAATCTTTCCTTTTTTATTTAGACAAAAAGGGAGAAATGCTTGTGATATTTTGATTGTATTCTGACAAAAAAATGCTTGATTGGAGTCAAAGGGCAGAGCTAGCCACTGGCTAATCAAAATTAGCAATAGAGGTTTGGAGGACTGGAAAGAGATAGGGACAGGAAGTAGTATGGCAGGGCTGAGAGAGGATCTTGATCCATTTGGAGAAAGGAACAGAAGACATAGGAGGTGACTGGTGGCTGCTCACCCCTTTCTCTGATCCTTCAGCTTCCTACCCCAATATCTGACTCCTGACTTTTTTATTTCTTACTGATAAAGAATAATTGGTCAAGCGGCAACCATCAAGTTCCAGTGTACACGTGTAGATTGTACATGATTCTACACAACAATGATGGCAATTTATGATTCAATACTCAATTAGAATTGGCTTAAGGCTCAAAACATAAGAAAATACTTTTTTCACTTTAACTAATTTTCTATCATTTATGCATCTTTAGATATTACCTTCAAGTGACATTATAATTCATAGAATTGTTTTAATATCTTCATATAATTTTGTATATATTTATCTTCCAAACACAATCACAAAGTTACCTACTTGCCAACTTCAAACCACTTTCATATTTTTGATCTGTGTGTCACTGAGAAAATACTTGTATTGTAATATGAATGTTTAAATATAGAGACATCAAATTATTTCTGTTAAAAATCTTTGAACACTGTAAGAGGAGATTCTATATCTTTTTTATTGATTTTTATTGAGCTCTACATTTTTCTCTGCTCCCCTCTTTGCCTCCCCTTTCCCCTAAATCCTTATCTTCTATATAGGAAAAAATGTGCTTTTTCTGTCAAACTATGATATGAATTTAAACTATATGAAAGTTTAAAATAGAGAGAGAAAGAAATTAAACCATCAGCCTTCAAAAGATTTTTACTTCTATGGAAAGACAAACCAGCATAAACTGGAGGATAAATTGAAGAATGTTCCAGTTTCAGATATAAGATTAAGAAACAACTCAGAGCATATCTCTAAACTTCAGGGTGCATTCCTTCATCTGTTGCTCATAGTGCTCATCAAACCTCTCCTTCAGTGCTACTGTAAAGTGGTTCTTCCAGTCTCCTACAATTCCTGTAAGGAAGCAGAAGGAAATCGGGAGTGTCAATTCTTTGAGCCAGAATCATGAGATTTGTCTATCCTATATATCTTTCATAAATTATGTGAAATTTTCTCCTAATGTCAGTTTTTTCAATAAAATTATTATGTTTTATTTCACAATGACAAATTTGCCTTTATTGTTTTGAAACATTTTCTTTGAAATTCCTATTAACTCATTTATTCTTAATTGAACTACTTCAAATGAGCTATCTTCTTTGATGTTTTCTCTTGTATCAAGCCTTCTATAATGTGATGTGGGATTCCTCTCTGTATACTGTGAATACCATTGGTTAATAAAGAAAATGTCTTGGTCCTGCACAGGGAATAGAGGTGGGCAGGGAAAATTAAACTAAATGCTGGGATAAAGAAGGACGGAGTGGAGAGAAGCCATGTAGCCCCACCAGAGATGGATACCAGAACATTAGCCAGTAAGCCACAGTCACGTGGTGATACACAGATTAATAGAAATGGGTTACATTAATATATGAGTTAGCCAATAGAAAGCTAGAGCTAATGGGCCAAGCAGTGATTTAATTAATAGAGTTTCTGTGTGATTATTTTGTGCTGATAAATCTTTCAAATCCACACTTATACCTTTATGTCCAATTATTTACATGACGTTGCTACATAGATACTATATAAAAATCCCTAATTTCAGGCATATAAGTTGACTATATTGTGTCAGGTAATGACCTTATTACATAAAATTTCCTTTTGTTGTGTTTTGATATTAGTAAATGGAATTACGTTTGAATTCCTACCTTAGTCATTTAGTTTTCAAAACTTTCTGTCATTTGTACAAGAAAATATGACTGACTTTCCTGAACTTGTTTTTATCTCAAAATAATAGTAAATTCTATTTAGAAATCATAAACTAGATAATATGTATATGGCATATGATATACACTAATATACACAGACCTAGTTAATGATATATACTAGGTATACTAGATGATATTTTTGCTGATGCTGAGACTAAGTTGTGGGCCATTATGTTCAATATAATATACTTCTGAAAGGGAATAAGCAAGTACCAGAAATTATTAGTAAATATGACCATATATATAATAACAGTGTTTAATGCCTCTGAACAATCCATAATAGAATAAGAATATTCAAGATGAAAGAGTTTAAAAAAAAATACATGTTGATTATGCAGGGTGAATAATCTTGACTAGATTTTTGCCTAAGTCATGGCAATTTAGGCCTTCCAAAGGAAAGTCACATGACTTTCTCACCCTTTCTCATGAAAGGTGATACTTTGGTGCTCATCATGTCCTCCGGCATTGTTGTATAATTGGTGGATGGATTGTTCTTCATCTCCTGGAATGAAGTATGCTGAATGATTTTGTCCATGAGCTCCTCTGAAGGATTTTTCCCCAAAAATTTTATCAATTTTATCACTTCTCTTCTGATATCCTATGAGAAACAAAGTTATTTGAAAATCATATTGACAAAATTGGTGAATAGGTCTTAATTTCTTAAGAATGAAAGAGAATATTATTTTGTATCTGGTCACTTTGGAATTAAATTAATAATGAGGAAAACAAACTATTCTAAACAATTCTTCTGCATCTAGAAATAGATGCAAGAGACATTTCAAAAATTGTTAGGCCTAAATGAAATGATTTATAAATGTTAATTGTAGTTCATTCTAATATTTTCAATTTTATTTATTCTTTAATAGATAATGCAAGAGTGTGGGTTTTGTGTATCCAAGTTTGCATGTGTATGAGCATACATGCGCTTGCACTTGAGTGTGTGAAGGCCAGAAATGTGTGATCATATAGCTTCTTCTATCACTCTTCACTTTATTTTACTGACAGCATATGCCACTCAACCTAGAGATCACTGATTCTGTTAGTTCACCCTGCAAGTGTGACTCTGGAATCCTCTTTTTCCATAGCTCTAGGAATAGGGTCAGACTTCCATGCTGACCTGGTTTTACGTAAGTACCAGGGATCTGAACTCTAGTCCTCAAACTTGTAGAGCAATGACTTTATCTGCTGACATATATCTCTGGTTATTTTTTAAATTATGTTTATTCTTCTTGAGGCGAGTCTTGATATTCGGCTCAAACATGTCCTGAACTCATGGCTGCCGGTCTCAGTTCTATAATTGCTGTAATCACAGTTGTAAGCAAATATGACTAGTTATTATAATCTCATACACAGTATATGCACAATGAATTTCATATATGAAGGTATAAATCCTCAGACTACAGTGTCCAGTAAAATATCAAGTTTGGTGATTATCCATTCATGTATGCTGTTATTTTGTTTCTTAATTTTATGAATTCAAGGTTCTTTTTGAAAATATTATCATTAGAAAATTTTGACACCTGGATTTAAAATTTATTTGTTCACTAAACTTAATCAAACTAGAGTATCATGTTTTTCCTTTTATACTTCTGCAAGTGGTTGCTATTACATTTCCAATAATAATATTGCATCCATAGGCTTGTCAGATGTTAAGAGCATCTTAAAACCTACTAGAATGTTCATTTGCCTTTTATGTCTTACCTCTATCATGTCTTCATAGAACATAAATAGTATAGATGGATTCTTACTCTTTTCCCACCAAGATTTCACATGATCATACCAGGAACCATACAAAACTGAAATAAGAAGAAACAAATGCAGGTACTACACTACCATTTCGCAGCTTGATAGACATATTCAAATTGTTAATAAGAGATAAAATGCTCAAGAAATGAGAGCTAATAGTTAAGTTAAACTTATTAAGAAAAGTTCTGCTCAGTAAGGATACAAAAATTATTGTATAATTTCATATATAGAAACATGTTTTCAATTTTAGTATGATGATATATATTATGATGCTGAGAAAAAATAAGAAACCAACTTAATTTAGAGCAATCAGAATATGTGTTAAACTAGTGTGTGTGTGTGTGTGTACTTGTATATGTGGTTCTATGGGTCTGTGTATATACACCTCTCTTTCTGTGAGACACACATTCACAGAGAGAGGGGGAGATGGATGGAAAGAGATAGAAAGAGAGAGAGAGAGAGAGAGAGAGAGAGAGAGAGAGAGAGAGAGAGATAATATAGTAATTATTACAAGAGCGGTAATTTCAATTGTTAAAGTGTGAGTCACCACTAGACTTGGAATTGACTCATTGACCCATTTTCTGTGCTTTGCTGCCAAAATCAAAGTTTCTTATAAGAAGGTACACAATGATGTTAATAGTAATCTAATTTACCTCCCTTTAAGGTGTATCAATTATTTTTTCTGTATTTTATAGAGTCTTGACAATCTTGAGGTATATATTTTACTGACAGTGTTTTAGAGTATATTTTTCTGCAAACCACATGTTCCAATGAGCAATATTATCTCATATGATTATAAACATTTTTTCAATTATTCATATACAATTTTTATGGCTTGTTTAATGACATGTAAACCCTTCTTTGCCCCTTCATCTTTACATATAAATACTCAGTTGTTTTAGTCAGAGCTGTAATGGAATGGCAAAGTTCCCATAACATCTACTCCAGTAACTCTTCATCGTTCAGGAAAATCAACTGAAAATGTTCTGACTACATACCTGGTGAAATAAGAGTTTTATAGGTATTCAGAATATTTATTTGTAAATACTGGCATTGATTCTCACCTAATGCCTTGGCATTTTACTTGGGAAGGAATGAGCAGACTTTTTTACCCTTACCCCTTTTTGTTCAACCATATTACAAGTTTTAAAACATTTGGAAGAAATAAAACTATATGTTAGAGACAGAACATGCTAACTGTCAGACTTATAAAGGGTTAACTATCACCTCAACCCTAAGAATTGTGTCAGTGCCTTTACTTCTTGGCATTATAACGAAATTCCTAGAGTCTCTGAGTTTCCTTCCTCCTCCCAGACAGAGAAACCTCCTACCACTCTAAGCATCAGTTCCTCTAGAATTTGTGTGATATTATATTTCTTAGAAACCAGATATTCTACCTCTGTTTACATATATCTGTATATTGTATTTAAATTTATATTATATTCCTGTCTATATATTTATATCATCTTATATTTCTATTCTATTTTATTTATATAAGTTCTGTTTCTGTTTACTTATATTAATCTGTTGCACATATGTATATATTCATTTATACTATATTACATTTTATCTCTGTTTATATTATATTACAGTTCTGCTTTTATATACTTATATTACCTCTGTTTATTTTAGCTCAATTATTTTTCCTCCTTATAGAACAGCATTTGTTTTGTCCTACTTTATTAGGAAGTAATCCAAAGGAGACGAGGTGCTCTTACCTTGTCCTTGCATAAATTTCTCCACAAATTCCAAAAAGGATTCAGGATTTGGATAACTCGTTATCATTAGGAAAAAGTAATAATAAGAAACCGCCACATCCTTGGCATTCCGGCAAATATAGATCATCTAGGGGATGAAATAAGGTGTGAAATCACTGCCTGGATTATCAACCAAGTTGTCCTCAAGTTCTAGAGATCCCTGTCTGCAACTAACATAATATCAATTCTTTGTTTAAAAAAATTAAAACAAAAACACTCTATGGAAAAAAAACATACCATAATATTTTAAGTTAAGGCACCGTTTTCTGTGTCCTGGCTAGCCTTTAGTCCTATTCTGTTAAGAAATGTATTCAATAGTCTGAGGTCACAGCATCATCTCTGACATTTTTCAAGGTTTCCTCTTGCTTTTTATTTGTATGACAGTTTCCGTAAAAAATGAAAATTTGAGTCAACTAGCTTGTTTTCCTAATTTTAATGAATAAAATAATGAAACTTAAATTGATTCAATATATAGTAGTAATGAAAGTAAATCAATCCAAATAAACAAGTTGACAGATCTCTCCGTCGAAAGTACAGTTTTCTGCTCTTTAAACTGTATTACAATTTGGATCCTAAGACAAATAAAAAGACAATATGCCCTGTAGCTTCATTACTTGCGATTAGAAAAAGTAACCATGTTTACAAATTTGTATTTTAATCCGTATCTCAAAGTTCTGTATTTTCTTCATCTGGGCCCTCCTCGAGATCCTCCTCTCCACTGTTTGGTAATAAAAGTGACCACTGCTGCTCCTGAGGGATGTGATGAGAGGGAAATGCCCTCTCTGCCTTCACTCACTGGCTCTCCATTCTTGTTATGCACAGTTATAACATCAGGGGGTTAGCAAATCAGGTGTGTTAGGGGCTGTTTCTAGCATTAAAACTATAAAACTTCATCTGGCAGAGGCCTCATCACTGTCCTCAGATACTTTGGCCACTAAAGAAATGGGACAAAGCAGGCAGTTTCCACCAGGTCTACAATCTATACACCTCCCTCCAACACACACCACAACTTCAAATTCATTGTCCTTAGACACTTCCCTCAGCCACCATCTTGTTCTTTTAAAAATCAAAAAAAAAATCACTTCCTTTACTCCATCACTTAATCTTTCTGATCCATCACTCCAAACACACTTTTCCAAAATATTCTCCACTATTTCTCCTCTGACGGATCAACAAATAAACCTGAAAATATTTAAAAAACAAATCCATTCAATTATCTTTATTTCTTTGATGACCTCATATAAGAAAAGGGTATAAGAAAGTATGGAATAAAATCTGACTGTAAATTCAAAGGAGCGGTAAAATCCTACCACTCTTCTTGCAAGGAGAAAAGTGCCTTGATCAATACTCTTATAGAAAATTGTGATGAGACATCTCAGGATTAGGTTAGGAAAAGTCATCATAGTAGCAAACTTTTGAGGGCTAATGGCTTTAAAGAAAAGAGTTAGTGACTAGAGACATAAATGTGTGTGCATCCCCTGACTCACATGTTACCTTGAAACTTTGTCAACAAGAAGATAATCACCAAGTTCAGCCTCTTGACCCTGGATCAGAACTGCCAACCAAATAAATCTCTTTCCTTTATAATTTAGCCAGCGTGTAGCATATTATTAGGAAGTGAGATGAAGATAAGGGTCTCTTTCATTCACTGGTAAATGATTATTGCAGGACACTTGTCTAGATATCCTATTCTGACTCATTTGAATGTCTCACAATGTCACACACTGTTTTGTGAAGAGGAGATATCCAGTCCACAAGGATATAAAAGTAGCTCCCTGACATTCATCCAGGGCTTACAGTGAGTTAGGCACTAGCCTTGCAATTTCAAGGATAATTTCATTTATCTCTATTAGGAAGATGACGCTATGACCCTTCTTCTACACAGGAACAAACCAAGGTTTAGAATCTAACTACTTTACAGAATCATCTTAAGGAAATAAAAGTAGGTGTAATTGGACGTCGGTTATGCTAAAAATAATTCATATTTGTTGAAAAATCTGTATGTGAAATGAAAATTATAACACAATATGTTTAACATGCCTCTTAGGTGATATCAGAGCAAATAAAGTGTAAGAAAATCTAATTCTGGTTACCTTGCAATTCTTCTCCCAAAATGATACTGGAAGAAGCTGGGGTGGCAGGTGGGTTTTTATTATTCTAGGAGATTTCTTCTCCTTTAATTGTTTTACTCCTGAGGTGAGAAAACAGGCAATTTAAAAAATGTTCATGTAAATTTAAACAGTGTTTTTAAAGGAGGTTACTTAAGATTCTAGATAATACAATTTCACTGTGAAGAAAACTATTAACTAAATAAATTGCAGAGCAAGATTAAATAGTTTCATCAATTGAAGTAAATAATCGTTCACTAGTTGGTCAATGGTGGCACACGCCTTTAATCCCAGCACTTGAGGGGCAGAGGTAAATGGATCTCTGTGACTTTGAGGTCAGTCTGGTCTGCAAGAGTTAGTTCCAAAACAGGATCCAAAGCTACAAAAAAAAAAATTGTCTCAAAAAACTTCCTCTCCCCCCCCAAATAATAATATATTTTCACATGTTGGTAAGCAAATGTTCACGAATACAGTTTTGACTTTCCTTGAAATTTACTGAATAGTTTCCTAGTATTTAAAATATTTTCCAAGTCAGGGAACTAAGAAATAAATGCTGGCATATTATAAGACTCTTCTGAACACATATAATAGTGAGAATTTCACTATTTCAGGCACAGGCCATTCTATATGATTACCACCTATAGAAGTGACAGAATATTAATTGTATATGATGCTAAAAGGTCTCTTGTTTTTATTGCAATATTATTAAATCTATGTCATATATCTATCATATAGCTTAAAATTTATGCATACATCTAAAAAATTAATTTAAAAATTACCATTTATTAACTCTTCATTTCTGCATTCCAGGTAAGGTACTCTATTAAAAATTGCATCTTCCTTGCATTTTTCTACATCACCTTCCTTATAGATCATGTACACAATTTCACTAACCCACGTGGTACCTGTAAAAATTAAACACACTTGAATCTCCAATGACCCTGTAAGGCTGATAACAGTATTATTTTAATAAAGTTTGATATCCAATCAAACAATACACTCTTTTTTAAAAGATTTATTTATTATGTATACAGTATTCTGCCTGCAAGTACACCTGCATGACAGAAGAGGGCACCAGATCTCATTACAGATGGTTGTGAACCAGCATGTAGGTACTGGGAATTGAACTTAGGACCTCTGGGAGAGCACAGGCAGTCTGTGCTCTTAACCTCTGAGCCATCTCTCCAGCCCTCAGTTTTTAATTCTTTAAATAATTTATTTAACTTTAATTTGTGTGCATTGGTGTGAAGGTATCATTTTCCCTGGAACTGGAGTTATAGACAGTTGTGAGCTGCCATGTGGGTGCTGGGATTTGAACCTGGGTCTTCTGGAAGAATAGCCAGTGCTCTTAACTGCTGAGCTTTCTCTCCATCCCCCAAACAATATATGCTTGAATATTTAAATTTACACTACCCAAAATAACTTCAACTAATAGGGATCTATACTGTCATGATAAATAAATAACTGGTCAGTGTGTACTGGTCATCTCAAACTCATAACTCTCATTTCTCTTAAATATTGGAATTATAAAATCATATGGTCATAAGCAGATAAGTGATTCATTTTTTAAGCATCAAATGTTAATACAAAGACAGAGAACACATGATTTGTGTTTTTTTGAATTTTAAAGTTTATAATTTTAAGACTCTGGAACTATGTATAGTAGTAAAGTTAATCTCATAAAAAAAGAATTGTAATTTGTGAATATACAGTGAAATTAAAATTTGTGAGTATATGCAATGAAAATCAGTGATTGCCTGAACGAGTTTTTGTTCACATTTGAAAGGGCTTGTAGTCTAAATACATAGCAATAATAAAATCTCAGTAGTTTTAAATATTCATTATGCAACATATATCTCAAATTGACTCATCTGTATTGAATAAGATAATTACATGATCAACAAGTTCCACTTATCAGTGACCTAACTGAAATTGTGTTTTTGAAGATTGAGATTGTGAAATAAAGTTGATAATGTGAAATTTATTAATATTTTGACACCAAAATTACTACAACTGTCCTTAATATGAAATGATTTTGAGTCAGGTAAACACTTTAATACTGATGATTTAATAATGATGTAGTTTTATAATTTCTATGTGTCAAAGCAACATTCTGTCATAGCAAGGACACTTACCAGATTTAGGATAAGTAGCAATGACGAGATCATCTGGTCTCGCCAGGAATGTTTCAACATCATCCCAATATTTGGTGAAACGTTTATCTATTAGAATTCCACGGAACTCAGCAAAGACTTCACAATCCTCAGGTTTAAAAGTCCCCATCTCAAAGTGGTATTCTTGGGATAAAAGAGATTTTTAAGTTTTTAAATGCTTTCACATTTAGAATATATATATACCAGTTAAATGCCTTCACCTTACCTGTTACCTGGGTGAAAACATGCTTAATATTAGTGGAGGGAGGAGAAATTATAATCAGGATATGATGTATGATAAAAGAATCTATCTTGAATAAAAATGCAAAAATTATACATATATATTCAGTGTTTAAGTATTTTCTACACCTACTAAAAGCATAAATCATTTAACTTTATAATAAACAGACAAAACTAGTCAAGATGGTGGAGCGTATAATTGAAACACTATGCTAGTGTGGGAGATACATCTATAGCTAGATAAACACATGATATATATAAGATTCTATAATGAATGGAAAATAATCTTCAATTTTGTAAACATTGATGAAGCAAATGAAAAGTCTAAGAAATCTTAAAATGTAACCATATATCAGCAGAGAGTTCAATTTTGTCTGTATTAAATAATAAAGATGGGCTGCCACTTTATAAAGGTACTATCTGGAATCTAACACAAATCTGTCTTTGTTCCTGAATATATGTCATTGGATGAAAGCATTTCAAATGTTTTATAAACATATTTAAAGGGAAATAAAGTTAAGATATTATAAAATTTATGTCTGAAAAAGGGAATGCCGAGGTTATAGAAAAACCCTTTGAAGTCATGGATCTTGATTTTACTTTTCCCACTTACTCTCAAAAATAATGGACCTTCTTAAGGAGTGATTTACTCCAAATTGACAAGCCTCAGCAGAATGGTCCTAATTCACCCCCTGATCAAATTTTAAACTATGGGCTGGAAGGTAACTCAATGGGTCAAGGTAAATGGCATGGTAACACAACTGTTCAATCAGGGAAGACATTTGCCATTAACAGTTTCTGAAGCAGGATTGCAAAAACTCAGGGTTAAATTGGGGTTCAACCTGATGATCTGGAAAGCAAAACAGGCAGCCACTGGCTTTTACCTTAACTTCAGCCTGAAATGGCGATTTTTCCTCCAGGACTCTCAGAATGAGACTGAGTGTCTGAGAGCTCAATCCCCCCTTTTTATATAACTCGCTAGGGTGGGGATTAAAGGCAGCACTGCTGGGATTAAATGCGTGTGTCATTGTGGCTACTGGGATTAAAGGTGTGTGTTACCATAACCTGGTCTATGAGGCTGAGCAGTGGAACTGTAACCTGGTCTACTAGGCTGAGCAGTGGGACTGTTTACTCTCAGATCTTCAGGCAGTTTTTAATTTATTAAAATACAATTAAAATGCCACTATAAATTTCCAAGAACATACTTCAAAAATGCAAAGATCCTAGAGAAATTTATAGTTAATACTTTGTTTCCTCAGTTTAATAACCAATGGTATTCTTCCTGGCATTTATTCTCTGAATATCTCTAAGACAACCCACCCAAGATAATAGTCATTTCAATATAGCTCTAAACGGCACAGTAGAAGTGAGACATAAGTGCCACCTTGCCATTTGTTTGTTGTTATTCAGGTAATGGCTTATATGTGCTATGAACCCACAAAATACTATTAGTCATGGTTATCCTTACCAGAGGGAAAAAAATCTCAGTCCCTGCAATTTCAACTCTTTGAAAAATCAGAGGCACATAGACATAACAATTTGAAAATATCATTCCTATTACCAGAACAGAAATCAGCCATCTGCTTGTTTTCAGAATTGTCTCCAGGCTTACTGAAGAAAGAAATGTCCACTTCTAAAAAGAACTATAATAGTCAACACTTACCTTATTAATTTGTGTATTCAGGTGAATTGTATTTTGTGGGTTGAGCCACATGTCTAAGAATTGGTTTGCATTCAAACTGAAGGTAGTTAACCCACCAGTAAGCAGTAGCCCGACCCCAAGCTGTCACCTCCTAATTAACATGGTCTCATAGTTAAAGGGCTGACATCAAAAGTCCTCTTTCCTACCCTCAGTTTTTCATAAATTGCCTTGAACCATAGCACATAGATTCACTCACTGACTGTGTTTTCCCCTAAAATGTGTATTTCAGTCAGAAACTGTCAACACCATTTCATGATCCTTTATAGCAATTGCATTCTGTACTTTCCAGGTATCTATAATACCCAAATTTATTTTAAAGATCTTTAAGCATCAAAGAATGTCTAAAAATATTTTGTGACAAGCAATTTTAAAAGACTTTAAACGAATTATATTATCAATTAGGCATAGTATCAATATAGACTTAATTTTCCCTCGATTTTTAACAACTGAGTAAATACCACAAACTTTGCATTTCCTATGTTTAAAATCTGTTAAATCAACAATAAAAAGTACAACCTGTCCAGATGGTTCCGTGAAAGAAATGAAATGATCTAGTTTTGTATCTTCGAGTGGCAGCACAAGTTTTATGCTTTAAAAAATGAGTACTGTGTGTGCACTTGGAACGTTTCTCGTCAGCTTTTATTCTGACAGTCACGGAATAAGTGGTGGGGCTGGGCGATGACGCAATGGATTGAGAGGAATACCTGCAGTGGTACTGAGTCATCTGATAAAGTTCTTTCACACAGATGGCCTCTACTTCTGCACCCCCCCCCCCCGCTGGCTCATATGCAAATCTTAAATTACCCATTCATCTTATCTTTCATAAAGTTTTCTATTCATAAAGGAATGAGAAGTAGTGAACAAGGAGAGGAGAGGAGGCCTAAAGGAAAACAGGAGATAGTATAGTGAGAAAATCTTTTACTCACTGGTGAATGATAAATGAGGATAAGTAGTTATTGCAAACAACAAGTTTAACAGAATAATTTAAAAAAAACTAACCATGAAGAATCTCAAATAGGGTGACTGTGTATCAAGAGAACAGCAAAAGAAAGCTTTGATAGATAAAGCTTTGATAGATAAAGCTTTCTTTTGCTGTTCTCTTGATACACAGTCACCCTATTTGAGATTCTTCATGGTTAGTAAGTGGGGGGAGGGGCGATGTGTGCGAGGAGGGGGGGAATGGGAAATGGGGAGGAGGAGGAATTTTTTTTTGCAACAACTAAAAAAAATAAAATAAACAAAAAAAAAGAAAGAAAGCTTTGTAGAACTTAACTGTGTCCTAACAAGAAAATGGAGATATACATTCTGCTACATTCTGTAAGAGTCTGGAAGCAGAAGAGTGGTCCTCCACAGAAAGAACACACCAACTGGTAATCCAGTACCAAATGGACAGTCCTGAAAACATGAATGAAAGCAACATTATAGAGATTAAAAGATTATGTTGGGAGTATGTATGTTTGTAGATATACATCTGTGCATGCGATAGCAATTAGTGAATAGAGAGGCCATGAATTCTCAAGGGCTAGATTCACATGAGAGTGTTTGGAGGGAGGAAATGGAAGGGAGGAATGTTGTAATTGCATTAAAATCTCAAAAAGCAAGTGTTGCCAATAATTCTAAAACAGCCTTGAATACAGAGAAGACACTGCTGGAAAAGAATAAATTTAATAAACAACACTCCCATTGGGGTAACTCAGTGGGAAGCCCTGCTCCATTCTCTTTCAAGTCCAAGTTTGTATAACACTCAGTTTCCCGACAAAAGCCATTGCTATTGCCATAATAACCAGGAAAAATTTGTCCCGAGGGTTTGTGGAGTCAAATAGTGCTTCAGCCTTGTCTGTGTCTGATTTAGCTCCAGGATAAAGATTGTCAGCTGTTCCTGCCACTTCAGCTCCATCAGTATCACAAGTATTTCATGTTTGGTAGATCTTCTGTTCCCAATGCCAAATTAAGCTGCCCTCCTCTGAGAGATCTTCAAAGCTTTGGTATCTCTCAAATGACCTCGAGTCTTATATCAATTCAACTATGTCATAATCAAGCTTTATGATTAATTCACTCCTAACTCAAAAGCAAGGTCATACTCTGCAATGAGATACTGTCCTGTGTTCAACATAAAACTCAATGGGTAAGTAATTCTTCAATGAGAGTTTCTGATTTCTTTTTTCAAAGTTGATAGAAGCAATTCTAATCAGTCTATAAGTAAATGATATCTACAGAGCAAATACAAAAGCTTCAGGAAAACTTGACCCACCTGCAGTGAACTCAGCAAACCAATAATAAAAGTAGCCTGTAACTTGGTTCTTACCAATGAAGATATACCAAGAGCCAAAATGTTTCAATCAATTTGACCTTTTCTCTTTTGCAGCTTTAATCAGGAAAGAGATCTTAGAAAAATGTTATTATTTTAATATTTGTTTTGATCCTTAGAATTTTGCAAATGTTCTTTTCATACTATATTCTAAAACTTTGAAAGAAACTGGAAAGCAGACATAAATCAACACAGAAAATGTTCCCAAGACCATATTTTCTTCTTATTTGTGATTAGTGAGTTTTTCCTTTTTCTTTCTATTTCATTGGATTTTTCTCATTTAAGGATCTTAGAATTTTCTTTATGAATGTTATTATTCTTAGTAGCATGAAATATTTTCCATACTAATTGAATTTAAAAACTATTAACAAAGTGAGGCTTACAGAGCTCTTATGCAGTTTCCTTGTCTTTGTCATACTGCAATAGTGTATACAAAAGAGTTAATATTACATATTACTTTTAATGAAAATTTGCAATTTTAAATTTTATAGATAATAATAAATGAATAATGCCATAATCAACTATTACAGAAGCTCCATAGTATTTTCAGCTTCCAAAAATTCCTTTTCCTCACCCACAAAACTTTGTTTCCCCTCTCGCAATCGCCTAGCACGCGGTGGCTTTGAGTTCTCTGTAGATGTACTTGTTTCACAGTGTTCTTTAGTTGGAGTCAAATCATGTGCCACTTTCTAATATTGGCTTCTTTGACTAATTCAAACTGTTCCTTGTTTTTTGGTGACTGAATGGTTTCTTTTTATTACTAAACAACATTCTATGGGCATAGCATATATTGGCCAGTTTTGGAAAGAAACCAGCTATAAACATCCATGCTCATGATCAAGATTTTATTGATACAGATTTTCTTAGATTTGTGTTAACACATCTGTGTACTGAATTTGGGCCATTTTATTGCATAATTCACTTTTATAAGAAACTGACAAACTATTTTTTTTTTTTCGAGACAGGGTTTCTCTGTGGCTTTGGAGCCTGTCCTGGAACTAGCTCTGTAGACCAGGCTGGTCTCGAACTCACAGAGATCCGCCTGCCTCTGCCACCCAAGTGCTGGGATTAAAGGCGTGCGCCACCATCGCCTGGCCTGACAAACTATTCTGCAAATGGATTTGCACCATCATAAATTATAATCAATTATGAACAAAAGTTTCATTTGGTCTACATTCTGATCTGCATTTTATATTGTCTGACTACTAGATATTAGCTCATGCTGACTGATTAGGTTATATTTTGTGATTTTATTTTTCTATCAGAGAAATGCAAGAGGATTCAAATTTTCTGATTTCTCTGTCTTGGTTTCCTCTTGTTTCCAGGGTTCCCTAGGAATTTCTTGATGAATCACATCTTATCCTTACCATTTTGTCAGCTGTAAATGGCAGGAAACCCTGCTTGTGAACTGCAGGTATGAAGAGAAGTCCTGTGATCAATTTTGTTTTTTCATGATTCTGTAGTGGTCTGTGACATTCACTTGAGATTCACAGGACCACCTCAGTACTAGAAGGTTGGAGGGTCTGATATTAGAATTTTCATACTCTCCAATGTCAGATAAAATACTCAGAAAATACTTTCTCTTACTTGGCAGTTATTTGTTTCAAAATACTAAATTTGTTTCAAAATTTCATTCTTCATCTTAAAGAACTACTTTTTTTCTAATTCTTCAATATAATTAAATGGTGAGGCTTTCAGACATGGGCTAGCAAAAATTTGAGCAGACAGTAGACAACAGAGCTTTATATTTGAACTTTAGCAATGTCAGTCCTTTAGCTAAAGGACTTTATTTAGATTTTTGGGTACAAAGAGAAACTCTTGGTTATCACATTTGATCTTTGACTCTAATCAACTAGCTTTTTCTTTTATAACATTTTCCAGTGATGTTAGAAGTAATTAACACAATCTCACTATAGCCTTAATTTCAAATTTAAAAAAAAATGCTCAAAAGTACTACAAAATATCATTTCACTCCTTGCTTCTTGCCGAAAAGTTATTAAGAATTTCCTGTGCCAAAAAATACAAAAGAAGGAGAGAGGAGAATAAAATAGCAGTAAGGATTTTGAAAAAGTCATAAGGAACCATATTATTAGCTATCTATCTTCTAAAAACAATACATTTAAGTCTATGTATAAATATGCATATATAGTTTAAATGAAATTGTCACATCTGGGCTAATGATGCTCTCTCCAAGAGCCAAAGACCATCTAACAAAATCCCCAAAATCAGACATGAAAAGACAATTTATTAAGTTCTTGGTCAGGGTTGTCTAAAAGACTCCCAAACAATGCAAACTGTTACTGTTGCCTTGATTGTCCCTGAGAAGTGGAAGGTAAACCCACATTCATGAACTTATCCTACACTTCAGACACAGAACCCACAGTTCCCTGAGAGTAAACTGACTTGGAAACTCTCTCTCTGAGGGCTAGCTTTCGTGATATTAGAAGCTGAAATGAAAGATTACAAAGGAAAAAGTCAACTAACAGTCCTACAGCCATGACACCTATGAATCACACTCCCTCCAAAATTTTGTAATAGCCTTTGCTCATAGGCTATGAGCAAAGAAGTCAGGACCACGAGGGGTGCACCCACCCACGGAGACAGTGGGGCTGATCTATTGTGAGCTCACCAAGGCCAGCTGGACTGCGACTGAAAAAGCATGGGATAAAAACGGACTCTCTGAATATGGCGGACAATGAGGGCTGCTGAGAAGCCAAGGACAATGCCACTGGGTTTTGATCCTACTTCATGTTCTGGCTTTGTG